TGAAGCCTCAGAAAGTTACTATTCTAATGCTTTCTTTCTGGTGCAGTTTTATTTAAAGTTACACATTCAAAATATGATGAAAAATGATTTGCGTGGTTCGAATATTCATTGCCCTGGAATTTTAAATTCAACAAAAAGATGAACAGCGAGCTAAGGTTAATTTTATTCCCTTCCATGTATTATATTATTCTGCCTAGGTTCGAAATCAAAACGCGCACAGTCTTTGCACTACTTTGATGATCGATAATATAGTTCGATTCAATTCTGACATGCTTTAATGAAGCGATCTCTTCCGGTGTTCGGATTCGAAAGTTTCGGAGATTCACAACCCTTGAAGGGTGGTCGATTTTGAAGAAGGGCAAAGGTCAGACATCGTGTACTTTTCTGTCCAAATTTGAGCTCTAGGTATCAATCCAAGGCACACGACGATGAAGGACATGCTGACGACAGGTTCTGCAGCCGATGAGCGAGGGTACAACCACTCACAAGCGCCCACCTCTTATGGAGCTGCGCAGAACTCAGCTGGACGCAGAAAGAAGCAATTCGAAAACTTACACCAACGCTACGCCTATAGCCCAGGCTCCCTCCAGCACCGAACATACCCGAGGAATGGCACTGTAATGCATTCTCAGACTAGCGCCGCTCTACTTCCTTGCGGCAGTCAAAATCCATGATTCCATCTAAACGGCGACGTTTTTAGTGCTCCCAGAACCACTCGATTCTCTTTTCAAATCACCGAACAGTTCAATAAAAAAGTCGTCTCCAAACACTTTCAAGAAAAAAAAACATGCTTAAAAATATTATATTCGTTTCTTTTGTGTGTTGTTTGGTTCATTGTGTATTCTAGTTATTCCACTTGGGTTTATATCGCATTTCTGGCACAACACTCATAACTTAACGCATCAGAACTATCAACCTCCATCAATTATCGAGACTCGGACTTGAGTTGTGAGAATAGTTTTATTTCTCCCTTTCTCTTTGTCTCTATCAATTTTTGGTGGATTCGGGTACGAGGTTAACCTATAGATATTAAAAGTGAATTGGTGTGCGAAACGAAGGTTTTGTGCTACCGTAATACACCGAGAAATAGCCCACCTAAGATCGAGAAAACAGTGGGTGAAAATAAGAGTGGGCTAACTTTCGGCGTGCAATCGAGACAAGTTGGAAAAAAATGTTATTCTTTATATTATGTGTACCTGTCAAACTTATCGCGGCGAGGGGCAATGAAGAAAAGATGACTACTTCCCAGTCAGCAATATTGGCTTATATTCCGCCGTAGCTAACTAGACGCATTTACGCCGAGGTAATCATTTGTCCGAGCACTGGGATTACTAGGAGTGGGCTACCTTTCGGTGTTTAAAAGAACATAGCTAATCAAGCCAAAAATTAGGGCTGGGTTACCTTTCGGGAGTGGAGCATCTTTCGGGATTTTGCGGTTTATGTATATCAGAGTTGAGTATACAATTAAAAAAACGGTGAAATGTGGATTCCACGTCGGAAATTAAGTATTTCCGCGTGTTTTGCTCCTTCTCGACAACGCAGAACTTACGACATTCACACACCTGTGCTTCTACATTCATATTGCCATTTATTAGATATTGTTAAACGAGACAAGAAGCTTGTGCTATTTATTCATCAGAATAATGTTCGCTTTCTTGTAAACTAGTACACTCCATAATGATACTACTTGCATTTTCTTATAAAAAAACAACAAAAAAGCCTATCCTTGTTGACGCGCAGGCGATGAACTTGTGACCGCTGTGACCGATTTGTTAGTTTAAATTCGCTACGAAATGCTTCAGGAAATCGGGTTTCAGTTCCTTGCAGTAACTCTGAATGATATATATGCTGTCAGACCTTTAACGTGCGTCGTACTCTTCTCGTCAAGAATTTACGTGCGTCCTTTTATTGTTGTGGCAATAGTGCTTACTGATATTCTAAAGCTGGCAAGGAACCAAACTGATAATAAGTCCGGCTAGGAGTGAACTACAGCTTTGTCCCGATCAGCAGATCTTGCGGTGTAGTTGGCACTGCCGTCTTTAATGCCTTCCTTTTTGCGTCTTGTACATCATTAGACGACTAAATATTCCCGACCTGCCGCAAAGTTGAGACAGCAATGCTTCAAAAATTATCCTAATTAAGGTTACAAAATCAAGTGCCCATGGGGCGCAGTCTTCCATGCCCGCTTTCTCCGTTAGCAGTGAGTACTGTCCTCGCCTCACTTCTTTTGTGAACACGGATTCAGAGCGTGACATGGTTATATCTTGTTCTCTGCGCTTACCACCAAAGCGTCTTTTCAATTCTGTGCCTGAAAGATTACGTCGCACCTTACTGCGCAGCTGAAGGCAGGCCTTTGAGTAGTTCCTTGGCTAACCCTTTCAAAGAGAGGTGATGCTCAGGGCATTTGAAACAGCAAGCATCATTACATGCTTTGGGACAGATGATCACTTGCGTCAATTTTCACGACCATCTTACCTTGAAGCTGCGAACCCTACGGTATATGCCAGTCTCAGAAAAAAGTCTCTGCTGCTTTGCCGCAATCGGAGAATTTGTCCTTTCTGTTAGAAACTTCACTAATTTGAGCAGCTATATGGAGTCTGACCACCTGCGCTCACATTTCCCGTCACCTCACTAGCTAACTGAAGACAGTGCCAACATAACGCCTTGAGTGTCTCAAGCCCTTAATGATGCCACGGCTTTATGATGAAGCACGACTTAAACGGCAGATGATTGTGCCTTCTTTTTTCTTGCTGCACGGATATTCCCTGTCATAATTCTGCGAAAGCTCCACGACCCTTCTCAAGGCGGCGCTCGTATTTTTAAAGTAAGTGCCTTCGCCAGATTAGAACGAGTGCAGCGTTTCAGTTCGCGACCGCGACCTGGTTCACGTTGTTCCAGGGCGTATTTTCGCTGCGTTTTACCCTAAGTTAGAGCGCCACCAATGCTAAAAGTCGACGAAGACAATCAGGTAGCGTCAAAAGTGCATTGTGACCGTGTTCGTTTATGTTCCGGACGTGTACTTTCACCGGCTCAACTAATCAAGCTCTGAGATTGTGATATGGCTTTGCGGTTTTACTCTGTCTGTTTGCGTTTATATTTCTTTCACAGTCACTCCCGAGTACCTAACTATCGCTTATCAGTCAATGAGATTTCGGCATATTAGATAAGGACGCCGAAAAACAAATCCCGAAGTTAAAAGCATGAATATAATAAGCGAAGCCCCGCCTTTCGTAAACTGTCAGTGAAACCGAGTATAGTAAGGCACTCGATATTTCTTCGAAATGAGAGCTCTACATTGTGCTGCAATGAAATCGATGTTAACCGATGTGATGGCAAAAAGTAACATTCACTTAAAAACTGCATCAATTAATGCAACGAGGATGGGAGAGTTCTTGTTCAGCTTTTCCATAAGGATCAGTTGTACGGCTGTGTTGAGCAATCGGCAACAATTTGTAGCGGGACAGCCCTCCTCGCTTTTTTGACGTAATGACCTTCAAATTTTGGAACATGTTATGGTTAAAATGCAATTAAATGCAAAGGTGCAAGCGAGCTGGACAAGAATGACGAAAATAATCTTCGGAGAAGTGGAACAAGGGGGACAAAAGACAAAAACAAATTTCCAAAAACTGCTAGGTGACTGGTGCGTGACCGAAAAAATCCGCTTGGTCCGGGTATCGAACCCGGGACCTCTCCATTTCTGGTGGAGCGCTCTACCAACTGAGCTAACCAGGGCTCAAACGCAAGCCCTTCACCCAAGAAGGGTGAAGGGCTTGCATTTCAAGGTTATGGTCATAACCTTAAAATTTAAGCCCTTCACCCTTGTTGTTTTTAGACTGGTGGCAGCTGATAAAACCTGTTTGCTGTACTGACGTCTAACCCCTGGTTAGCTCAGCTAGTGGAGCGCTCCACTGAAAATGGAGGGGTCCCGGGTTCGATACCCGGACCAGGCGGAATTTTTTCGGTTTCGCACTAGTCATCTAACTGTGTTTGGAGATTTGGGTTTGTCCTTTGTCCCTCTTGCTCCCCTACTCCAGGGATTAGTTTCGTCCTGTTTATGGTTCCACAGAAGGCTAGAACGGAAAGTTTATATCCCAAACTACCTACTGTATGGAAGAAGATTAAACTGTTCCCCTTCATATTGTGGCCGATAGTACGCCACACGGTAAAACAATCCCTGTCTGGCTGAGGGTGACCTCTCCAAGAACTTATTTTATGTTCACAAGACGAAACTGCTAAAAAGAAACAAACAGTATTTTTTTCTAGCACCGAAATTTTTTTTTAAAATTACAGTGTAATAAAAACTACTCGCTTGGGGAACTAATCTAAACGATAAAATTTGTTGTTCGCCAATACCATTTCGGAGTAAAAGACGACACAGCACCTAGGTCGTGTTCGCAGTTTACCTCCAGAAAAAGACTATGGCGTTTAAGGCCGGCTTAATTCCCTACCATTCCCGTGGTTCCTTTCTTTCTCCCTTTATTATTTATCTCCCTGTGTATTGCTAGTGCAGACTATGACAATTTATGTAGTGCCGCTAAATATCTGTTTCTCGTTCTGTCCAACTGTTTTGGCGGTATTATTCATTTCTAATCAAGATAATTGTTTCCTTTTGTTGGCTTTTAATATAATCCTTGTTCACGGCAAGGCGGCTATTATTTTGGTGAGAGACTATCCCCGCAACAAGCCAATTCTGTCCTGCTTCCTTATTATCTGCTTAGGAGGAAACTTTTCAGTAATGATATGAGTACAAAGACTTTTGTTCTGACAATTACAAATCGTCATTATCGTGAACCTACTGCTGACAGTGACATCAATATGTTATTTTTTATGATCGTCAAAATCAGGCGTATGATGGCCCACTAAATGCATGAAGCAACTTCTTTATTCACGCGAAAAATAATTTTGAGGGAGTTCGCATTATTTTTTTCTGACACTGAACAAAATTATGGTTTTCAATTACTCCTTGCAATCTGAGAATACAATTCGTTGTTTGAGCGGACTCACCTGCGTAAACGTGCCATACAGGGGCTTGTAGACGTATGGGTCAATGGATCGTGGATGGAACTGCTTGATGCCTTCGTACCAGAAGGCTATGGTGGACCGCCAGTAGACGGACGGCGTCGTTCGCGATCGAATCTTGTAATTGCAAATGTTCTGCCCTACGCTGAAGCTCTCTGCCACAGTGAAGAGAGAGAAAGAGCCATGGTAGCAACAGGAATGCCGTACCGCTTTCTATTTTTTTTCTTTGCCGTTTTCATGTAGTGTACACATACGTAAAAGATGGAAGCGCAGCTATTTTGAGAAAAAGGAGACATTTTTTGATGAAAGAGATAAACTGAATTAGGCTTGTTCGTAAACAAAATATGTCAGAAACCAGAAAACATTCCCTTTGAAAATTTGATGCCGCTTGCAATAACAATTGTCTTTTCGTTTTTGTTTCTGGCGAGGTGAGCGTTGGTGAAGAATTGTTTTACCAATTCGGTAGCAGCATGTGACTCATGGATGGAATACAAGTGATGCGTCAGGGTTCGTTTTGAATTCGGTTCCAATTAATCAGTTGGTACACATTCGTATCACAAGCCCCTTGATATGTTAAACTTTGTCAAAATATTTGCCAAGGTGAGCAGTTTGTAAAGACCGGTGGTTTCTTTGTCACGATCAAAACTGAAACAACTCGAAAAAGAAAAGCACGGCAAAAAGCACAATCCTGTCTGCATTTGTCGTACGAAAGTGACAGTGGTCGATGAAGTGCTGCATTTGTGCCGCCATTAAAATGATAAAAGGTGGACTTATATTTGAGCGACCAGATGGCACTTCATATAGGAAAGGGTCTAGGCACTTTGCTCAATGCCGGCTAGCCGTGTTCGTCCCGAAATCTTCATTTATATTAGATATAATTCTGTATATGAAATATATTTTTTTAAAGAAAGAGTAACTTCACTGTTCTCAAGTGACTTCTTAAATAATTTGGAAGTTTTTGAGTAATTTTCAATCGTCCTTACCCACTCGCCTGCAATCCGAGCAGTCCGTCTTGATTGCACACCTGCTTGCATGTTTCTGAGCAATGGTCGCCAGCTCTTCGTTCCACTCCTGCAGAAATTCTTCGATTAAAATAGATATCAAACGACCTCGCATTTTGCAAACCATCGGTAGGGGTGAGGGAACCATTCGGCTTGTTGAACATCACGACCTATAAGCTTAAATGCTTGCCCTTATTTCGTACCAATTTTGTCACTAGTGTTCATTTCTGAGCGAATGGTTGTGTTGACGCCCCATTTTAGCTTTCAACAGTGACATAGATCACCGACGCCACCTGAACGTTTTTATTACCTCAAGAACTTCAGAAAGTAAACTAGCACAAAATACTGAATCTACAACAGCCTTAGTTGTTTAGCAATAAACGTTCCCTGCGTCTTTTATAAGATTGAACGATATGCTACATTACAAAGATACTGGGCTCAGGTTGCTTTTATTTCGCCCTGAAGATTTTCGTTGCCTGCGCTACGTTTTATGAACAAATTTCAAAATTCATTCAATTCGCAATGTTATGCGCCAACCCCATAGCTTTAAAACTGAATTAGCCATAGAAAGAGACTATTCAACGACCAGGACAACATTACATCGATTGTATGAAAGTTATGTGTCACGTGATCGCCTTTAGAATCTGGGTAAAATAAAAAATAAAAAAAATCAAAGCCCAAAGCCAACTCGAGTCTCATGCTTACTTGTACGTGAGCGCGCTGCACCCTTCAAAATATGTCCGTGTCTACATTCGCGCACAGAACTCGGGGAACCAAATCCTGCGATTTACGAAGGCGGCACGGCGACTGACAAGACCGGAGAAAAACACAAACTTATCACCCATTGATGTGACACTAGACATCGCATTTCACGTGCTCACGTAATGGTCAGTGTAGCTTCACAAAATTTAATTATGGCTTCAAACGGTTTTGTTTTCTTTCTTTTTTTTTTACCTCATAATATATCAAGTTATTTGTAGCTAATTGTGATTGACTCCCTGAGTGCTTTGTGAATGAGCGTGAATTTCCTAAAGTGTACAGTCGTCGGCATTATGACCTGGCCCAGCGGCAATCAGGCCGGGACGGCAAAACAGTCTGTGCGGTGGGTCCCTTGTACGCTAAGCTGATATAAAAAGGTTGGAGTGAAGAGCCACATTTCTTACTGTAGTGATGTGACAGTTGGTTTTATAGCTTAGCATGCCAGAGAAACACCATTCATTTTACCCCTTTTGAATAGCGCTAAGCTGGGTCATCACACATTGCTCCATTGTGAAGGAGGCTCTTTTACAGTAAGCAGACAAGGTAGCCGTATGGCATGTTCTCATCTAAAGTGTGTCTGTCAACCGTAATAATCGCTTGCCTGTAGAAAGTTTCACTCAAAGTGACCTTGTTTTTTTTTATATTTTATTAATTTTTGTTAAATCTTTTTTATATTACATATAGGCGTTTTAGTTGGTCCCCCGCCGTTGTTTCTGTGTTCTATAATTTTATTGTTTAATACAACACAATCAAATGTGTTATTAATATTGGCATATTATGACACTATGCGTTGTTGGCTTTATGCCAACGATATGTCCCATAACTGGTTTCGAAATCGTCAATTAACCGTCTCGTATCCAACAATTAAGGGAGATATTTCTTTAGTATAAATATTTTAAATGTAAGTATTTAGTAGTGCTTTCAAATGTGGCACCCAGTGAATACCTAACGTACATAGCTTGCAGGTGTCGCCACTGCTGGGTACTGACGGTTATTTCTACTTCCTGACTCCCTCGAGCTACTGCTTCTGCGCTGTTTAAAGAACGTGGTGAATTGAACGCTCGTGGCACGTAAAATACCGGCATGGCCACAAATGACGTTACGGGCAAGATATATGTCCTCGGATATTACTACTATAATAGGTGAGATTTTCACGCGTTGACACCAGCAAGCGGCAACCCTTGGTCGCGCAGGAACTATTGACGTGACGAGCGCGATACGCATTGCGCTTTCGACTTTGAAGCGAGGGACAGACATCGCGCTCACGTCATTTCGTCTCCGTACCCCTTAAGCTGAGATTGCAGTCAAAGCTACAAGCGCGAACTAGCCCATTCCTGGCTTTGAGACATGCAATTCTAGCGCGAGCGCTCGTTCCGCGGAAGAATGCTTCGAAGCAGCGACCTCGAGCTCTCGTGCTTGTGGCATTGGCTGCAGTCTCAGCTTAAAGGCTCATTCGCACAGCCCCAATTTCTCACGGTAAAGGCAGGTTCACACTGCCCCGTTTTCTTACGTTAAGTTACCTTACGTATTAGTCACCGAAACATTCGTATCTCGAATGTCGCGTGCATGCTTTCTCCTTGAACTGGTAGCCTCGCTTAATATGAAGCACAGAGGTCCCGGTGACTTCAACGTGATATTTCGCAATGTAACTTAACGTAAGAAAATGGGGCAGTGTGAACCAGCCTTCAGGTACGTTAGGAAATAATACGTTGAAGTCACCGGGACCTCTGTGCTTCATATTAAGCGAGGCTAGCAGTTTAAGGAGAAAGCATGACACGCGACATTCGAGATACGAAAGCTTCGGCGACTTATACGTAACGTATAAGTCACCTTGACGCCAGAGAGCTGCTAGACGCCTGCTCTCTGGCGTCACGCAGCTGCGGTGGCGCTGCTGACGACGCGGCACATGCGCAGACGTATCACTTCACGCGTATCTGGTCACTGCGCACGCGCAGTGCCCACACGCGGTGTGGGAAAACGCGGACTTTGTGTTGGTCTATACATGGCTTGCATTGACGTCCCGTCATTAGCCATCATGATGGCCTTTCATCTGAGCGCGTTCCTTTTGCAAAGAGCTCTCCACACCGTCAAGACTGCCAGCCTCGGCGGAAAATAAGTATGAGCTCACCCCGAGCGTGTCAAATCAAGACAACCACCATGGCCGCCGGACTGACGTCCCTCCGGCCGGCGGCCATGGTGGTGACCTTGCAGCCGACCGCGTGCCTTCATAGGGTTTTTCTTGGCAGGAACAAGTAGCTAGGAATGACAACCAGCACGGTGCGACGACGTCATGTGCAAGCCACGTTGCCCTGCAACCCCCGTACCAGCTGCATCATGTCGGCAGCCGCGGGCAGTCCGTGGGCCATCTCGTCGCCCGACGCCAGTCGGTTCCTGTACTGGTTGTGGATGTCGAGGATCAGCTCCCTTTCGGCGTCGCTGACCCCCACCTGGAGCGGCCTGCACGACCTGTCCTTGCCGGGGGGCAGGCACTGCGTGTGGTGTCGGCTGTAGCGCCGGTACAGCGGCGAGCAGTCCTCGTAGCTATGCGGCGGCGTCGCGGGACGCGTCTCTCCAGCGATGGCCGCCAAGGCGCTCAGCCACGTCAGCGCTGCCAGCCGCGCCGTCCACGCAGGGACGGGGCATGGCACAGGCCGCCGGAGGCCGCACCTCCTGCGACGCGTGGGCGCGCAACATATCACGAGCAATATGGCACTCCGTTTTCCTTGCGATCTGAGAATTCCGTGCGAGTTCATCGGTCACCAGGTAAAACTTAACACGAAGGAAAGGATTCCCCTGTGCTACAAGCAGACTTGTACGGTACTCACTAGAAGTAATATTACTACCTGTAATCGATTACTTTGAGTAATTTTGCAATCATTTGAATACATTTATTCGGAAGTAGTCGCAAGAGTAATCTGATCACTTTTGGAAGTACTAAAATTACTTGTAATTGTTACTATTTTCCCTTCCCTCTTTTACGGTGCCTTTTGTTTCTACCAGTTTCCTTCCAAGGAATCCTCGAACCAAGTCTCGGTCAGGAGGATGCTTTACCAAAATTGGTGGATTAAGAAGGTAAGTAGTTTATAGTTTCGTGCTTTAATGCGATAGCATTATTAAGCTACTCACGCAGGTTCTTCTATGTAATTTAGGTATCTGGCCTCTAATGTTGTCAAGAAAAGAGTGGGTCCCTGGTTCGTTGCCCGCTAAATTTAGCGGAAAATTTACGTCACGTGACCTATGCACCGATTCAGTTTCTCCGTTAAATTTAGGTGAAAACTTGACGTAACGTGCCCTATGCATATGCACCAATTCAGTTTCCCGCTAAATTTAGCAGAAAACATGACGCCACACCCTATGCACCAGTTCAGCTTCTTCGTTACATTTGGCGGGAAAATTGATGTCACGTGACATGATTCAGGTGACCTACTCACCAATTAAGTTTCCCCGCTAAATTTAGTAGAAAAATTCACACGCTAAATTTAAAGGAAAAGTTTACGTCACATTACCTATACACAAATTCATTTTCCCCGCTAAATTTAGCGGAGATATTTACGTCATATGGCAAAGCTTGGTCTGCTGGGCAAGTTGGTAGTGGACATTCATATTAAAAATAGCGCAAAAGAGACGGGACAAAAAGACGAAGAAGCACACAGGACAAACGCTAACTGGCAACCAAACTTTATTGAAAGCTTCCAACTTTGCTATCGCCATGCACGCGCGTCGTCTCGTTCAACAGAGACAGGGCGTGCCGCCAAATCCGCACAATCATACCGCCCACCGCCTGTTCCAAAAAGTCAGCAAAACAGCTACATCACCCCGCCGCACAATCCGAACGAGAAAAGAATAGAAAAAACGCCGCGTTAATATTGTCAAGTTAGATAGTGTTAATGAAACTGTACTCTTTCTGCTGCATATACACCGATGCGACGCTTATGCAAACGTCTTCGTCACAATCACGTATTTTGGCTGCCTCCAGCAACTCTCGTTCTCTCCTTCCTTTGTTTCGTCCCTCCACCTTCGCACCGTCCAGCGTGGGCGAACAACCACAAGTTCTACAATGCCCCGGTAAGTGGGAACCGTAATTGTTGCCAAGAGAAGCCGCGTGCTCTCGAAGTCGATCATTTAAGCAACGTCCCGTCTGCCCTATGTAAACACGGCCACACGTTAGAGGAATCCTGTAAACCACCTCAGTGGCACAAGGTACAAACTTTGTCACGTGTTTCTTGCTACAAACAGGTTTCTTCACTTTCGGCCCGCTCACCATAGCGCACGATTTTGACAATCTGCACGGGGCAGTGAAGACAACGTCCACGTCGAACTTTGATGCTATCCTTTTCAGATTGTGCGACACCTTATGAATATAAGGTAGCACTACAAAATTCTTTGGTTTCCTCTTAGGTTTCCTTCTATTCTTTTCTCGTTCGGATTGTGCGGCACAGGTGATGTAGCTCTTTTGCTGACTTTTTGGAACAGGCGGTGGGCGGTATGATTGTGCGGATTTGGCGGTACGCCCTGTCTCTGTTGAACGAGACTACGCGCGTGCATGGCGATAGCAAAGTTGGAAGCTTTCAATAAAGTTTAGTTGCCAGTTAGCGTTTGTCCTGTGTGCTTCTTCGTCTTCTTGTCCCGTCTCTTTTGCGCTATTTTTAATATGAACGTCATATGGCCTATACACCAATTCAGTTTCTTCGCTAAATTTGATGGGAAAATTTGTCACGTGACCTCACGTCAGGTGACGTATACACCAATTCAGGTTCCCCGTAAAATTTAACGGAAAAGTTGATGCAACGTGACCTATGCACAAATTCAGTTTCTTCGCTAAATTTGATGGGAAAATTTATGTCACGTGACGTATACACCCATTCAGGTTCCCCGTAAAATTTAACGGAAAAGTTGATGCAACGTGACCTATGCACCAATTCACTTTCTTCGCTAAATTTGATGGGAAAATTTATGTCACGTGACCTCACGTCACGTAACGTATACACCCATTCAGGTTCCCCGTAAAATTTAACGGAAAAGTTGATGCAACGTGACGTATGCACCAATTCAGTTTCTTCGCTAAATTTGATGGGAAAATTTGTCACGTGACCTCACGTCACGTGACGTATACACCCATTCAGGTTCCCCGTAAAATTTAACGGAAAAGTTGATGCAACGTGACATATGCACCAATTCAGTTTCTTCGCTAAATTTGATGGGAAAATTTATGTCACGTGACCTCACGTCACGTGACGTATCCACCCATTCAGGTTCCCCGTAAAATTTAACGGAAAAGTTGATGCAACGTGACCTATGCACCAATTCAGTTTCTTCGCTAAATTTGTTGGGAAAATTTATGTCACGTGACCTCACGTCACGTGACGTATACACCCATTCAGGTTCCCCGTAAAATTTAACGGAAAAGTTGATGCAACGTGACCTATGCACCAATTCAGTTTCTTCGCTAAATTTGATGGGAAAATTTATGTCACGTGACCTCACGTCGCGTGGCGTATACACCCATTCAGGTTCCCCGTAAAATTTAACGGAAAAGTTGATGCAACGTGACCTATGCACCAATTCACTTTCTCGCTAAATTTGATGGGAAAATTTATGTCACGTGACCTCACGTCACGTGACGTATACACCCATTCAGGTTCCCCGTAAAATTTAACGGAAAAGTTGATGCAACGGCCCTATGCACCAATTCAGTTTCTTCGCTAAATTTGATGGGAAAATTTATGTCACGTGACCTATGCACCAATTCAGTTTCTTCGCTAAATTTGATGGGAAGATTTATGTCACGTGACGTATACACCCATTCAGGTTTCCCGTAAAATTTAACGGAAAAGTTGATGCAACGTGACCTATGCACCAATTCAGTTTCTTCGCTAAATTTGATGGGAAAATTTATGTGACGTGACCTCACGTCACGTGACGTATACACCAATTCAGGTTCCCCGTAAACTTTAACGGAAAAGTTGATGCAACGGACCTATGCACCAATTCAGTTTCTTTGCTAAATTTGATTTGAAAATTTATGTCACGTGACCTATGCACCAATTCAGTTTCTTCGCTAAATTTGATGAGAAGATTTATGTCACGTGACTTCACGTCACGTGACGTATACACCCATTCAGGTTCCCCGTGAAATTTAACGGAAAAGTTGATGCAGCGTGACCTATGCACCAATTCAGTTTCTTCGCTAAATTTGATGGGAAAATTTATGTCACGTGACCTCACGTCACGTGACGTATACACCAATTCAGGTTCCCCGTAAAATTTAACAGAAAAGTTGATGCAACGTGACCTATGCGCCAATTCAGTTTCTTCGCTAAATTTGATGGGAAAATTTGTCGCGTGACCCCACGTCACGTGACGTATACACCAATTCAGGTTTCCCGTAAAATTTAACGGAAAAGTTGTTGCAACGTGACCTATGCACCAATTCAGTTTCTTCGATAAAATTGATGGGAAAATTTGTCACGTGACCTCACGTCACGTGACGTATATGTCAATTCAGGTTCCCCGTAAAATTTAACGGAAAAGTTGATGCTACGTGACCTATGCACCAATTCAGTTTCTTCGCTAAATTTGATGGGAAAATTTATGTCACGTGACCTCACGTCACGTGACGTATCCACCAATTCAGGCTCCCCATAAAATGTAACGGAAAAGTTGATGCAACGTGACCTATGCACCAATTCAGTTTCTTCGCTACATTTGATGGGAAAATTTATGTCGCGTGACCTCACGTCACGTGACGTGTACACCAATTCAGGTTTCCCGTAAAATTTAACGGAAAAGTTGATGCAACGTGACCTATGCACCAATTCAGTTTCTTCGCTAAAATTGATGGGAAAATTTATGTCATGTGACCTCACGTCACGTGACGTATACACCAATTCACGTTCCCCGTAAAATTTAACGGAAAAGTTGATGCAACGTGACGTATGCACCAATTCAGTTTCTTCGCTAAATTTGATGGGAGAATTTATGTCACGTGACCTCACGTCACGTGACGTATACACCAATTCAGGTTCCTCGTAAAATTTAACGGAAAAGTTGATGCAACGTGACCTATGCACCAATTCAGTTTTCCCGCTAAGCTTGGCGGACAAAAATTGATGTCACGTGACCTGACGCACAGGACCTACAGACAAATTTAAGTTCCCCGCAAAATTTAGCAGGGAACCTAAATTGGTGCATAGGTCACGTGACGAATGCTATCGCAATTCATAGACAACCAACAATGGTGGTTTCTGCAATTTTTTTCTTTCAACAACGGACAGTAAGAATGTCTCGTCTTCAAACCAGCAGAAAAATATACTGTTTTGAAAATCTGAGATAATCGGAAAAGTGACGGCCAATTTTTCTTCTCAAGTATTCAAGTAATATATTTGGATACGTTTTAATCAAGTGTAACCGTAATTGTAGTCGATTACTTTTTTGACTAACGTGTACAAGGTTGCTACAAAGCACATGCTACGTTCACTTTCTCGGAGAACACCCGGCTAGCCAATAACAGCGAACATTAGAAAGATTCCAACAAATGACGGAGCTCAGGGCCGGCTTGCTAGAACAGCGTCTCAACCACACCGTGGTCTCAACTGAGACAAGCTGAAAGAAAGCACTGCAAAGGCAGGGGCGCGCGGGCGTCTTGAGACACGGCTTGATTCCCGCTCAGCTCGTGCGCTGGCTTTGGCCAGGGCTTTCTTTCCCCCTGTCTCAGCTTAAAGGGATCGTGCACCATGGCACTGATTTCTATTGT